TAGTAGTAGTATAGTATAGTATATATATATATATATATATATATATATATATATATATATATATATATATATATATATATATATAGTGTTTAAATGCTTTCATTTTAATTGTTTGTAATAGCAAACAGACAATAATGAAATATATCCCTGCTGAAATAGACACCGAATGTTCGGATATTCCTTTTCGTACTTCACATTGTCAGAAAACAACCAAAATATGACCAATGATCCTAGAAATGCACTTTATTTCAAAGCAAAGTATGTGTAGCTAGCCAAAAGGAGTCTTGTCAATGGCTGTACCCGTATTAAAGATTCTATCACATTGTGGCTCACCCTGAAGTACTGAATAGCTTCACTTTGCAACAGCCCATGGGTAAAGAGCGCTACTAAAAGGTTTATAAATAAAATATGTAGTCCTTTTTGTCAGAGATGTAGTTTCGTACGTCTATGACGAACGGTTACCTAAGCCTGAATTTTATGTAAGACCCGTCGATATTAAATCAGTACTTCAACCAATGAGAACAGAGTATACCGTAATCTAATCACATAGCTGTAAAGTGTAAGCGGTTAACTTCGTCACGGTGTAACGGACTACTACTGATAACTTGAGACGTACCCGTCACATTTTAAACTGATTAGCCAATGAAGACGCCGGCTTACCAGACCTATTTCCGAGAATTGCGTTTCGATGATTTAATACGCTGTAGATAAGGTTTTTCCCACCCAGTGACTTGTAATATATTTTAGCTTTACACAATGTTCCATTCGTCCCATGCGGGCAAGAACATGCAATATATATCATTTATTCAAATATTATAAATCTGCCTCATAATAACTTCATTTCCACCAGTGGTTGGCATATTGAGGTTAAGAATTCAATGTTGGGATTCAAACCAGCGACCTTTTGATCCAAGAGACCATCACACACTGCAGCTGTTGTAATTGGAAGATGTATGTACCCGCGCGGAGCTTCGGCCCCCGAGTGCCTTCTTGGCCTAGCTGGGATTCATAATTCCTTTACAATCTCCAAGGAATTATCAAGTTGTGCAACATTAACAAATTTTGACGTGAAAATCAATATGTAGCAAATATGAACAAGTATAACCTTGACAGAGAATTATTACAAATAGATGTGCAAAATAAAAGGTAGAAAAGGTTTTGTCCTTCATATGTTGTACACGTTGACTGGCCTTTTTGGTTTATAGACAAGGTTAGAATCTACTTGTAAAGGTCTGGAAAATTAACGCCTGTGACATTATATCGTCAGTAAATTTTCTTGATATACGACATTTACGTACATGCAAGTAATTTCAAGTTACTGGCTAGTATCCAAAATGAACCCCTGTAGAGATCTGCGAAAACAAAAGCGGGTCAAAATAGCATTTTTACAAAATTCGTTCTAAAGGCAGACGCAAATTTCCAATAATGCCTCAGGCGACAAGCCTTGAGCTGACATTTTACATAAGGCCACAGAAAATACATTTTATGGATGACATCCTCTGCGAAAAAAACAGGGCGGGCCAAAACATCAAGATTCCTACATTTTCAAATTTTGACATCATCAGCCTTGTTAAACAAATGATACCTATATTGTGCTACGTTTACTGCCGACTATTACAACATTCATTTCACACTGAAAGAACTTCGAAAAATAAAAGTTTTCAATCATTTGTACAAATGGTTTTGGTTCAGTT